TCTGCTGCCTCATTTTGCCTAACTCTCTGTGATTGTGGTTTGTATTCCACAGGCTGCAGGGTTGTAGTTCTTCTTGCTTCTGCTGTCTGCCCCCTTGCGGATGAGGCTGGACTAACAGGCTTGTGTAGGCTTCCTGGTGGGAGGGACTGGTTCCTGCCCACTGGTGGGTGGAGCTGGTCTTGTGCCTCTGGTGGACAGGGCCATGTAAGGGATTTGTTTAGCGGGCAACTATGTGCTCAGGAAGACTTTAAGCAGCCTGCCTGCTGATGAGTGGGGCTGTGTTCCTGCCCTGTTGGTTGTTTGGCCTGAGGTGTCCGAGCACTGGACCCTACAGGCTGTTGGGTGGGACCAGGTCTTCGTGAGAAAATGGCGGCCTCCGGGAGGTCTCGTGACACTGAGTACTGCCCAGAACTACTGCTCCCAGGGTCTTTATCCCCACAGTGAGCCACAGCTGCCCCCTACCTCTGCTGGAGACTCTCCAATACCACAGGTTGCTCTGGCCCAGGATGTTATGAGGTCACTGCTTTTTATCCTGGGCAGTCGTGTGCACGAGACCTTGTGTGTGCCCTCTGAGCGTGGAGTTTCTGTTTCCCCTAGTACTGTGGAATTCCTGCAATAAGATCCCACTGGCCTTCAAAGCCAGATTCTCTGGGGGATCCTCATTCCATTGCCAGACCGCCAGGCTGGGAAGCATGACTTGGGGTCAGAACTTTCACTCCTGTGGGAGAACTTTTGCGATATAATTATTTCCTAGTTTGTGGGTCCCCCACCCGGCGGGTGTGGGATTTGCTTTTATTGCAGTTGTGCTCCTCCTACCATCTCGTTGTGGCCTTCTTCTTTGTCTTTGGGCATAGGATATCTGTTGGTAGGTTCCACATTTTTCTGTCAATGGTGGTTCAGCAGTTAGTTGTGATTTCGGTGTTTTCGTAAGAAGAGGTGAGCTCATGTCCTTCTTCTCTGCTATCTTGCGTCCACTCCTATTCTACTTTCATCTTGTGTATCCCTTAACTTAACTAATTATGGTAGTTAGTTGTTTTTACTGCTTTTGTCTTTTAACCTTCATACAAGCTTTATAAGTGATTAATCCACTACACTTACTATATATTTACCTTTACTAGTGAGATTTATACTTTCATATGTTTTGTTACTAATTAACACCTTTTCTTTTCAACTTAAATGAGCCGCTTTAATATTTCTCACAAGGTCGGTTTAGTGGTGATGAACTCCTTTAGCTTTGGCTTGTCTGGAAAACTTTGTATCTCCTTTAATTCTGAATTATAACTTTGCTGGATAGAATATTCTTGTTTGGAAGGTTTTTTTTTTTTTCTTTCAGCACTTTGAATACAGGCATACCTCAGAGATACTGGGGTTTGGTTCCAGACAACCACAATAAAGGAAATATTGCAACAAAGCAAGTCATACAAGTTTCTTGGTTTCCCCATGCATATTAAAAGTGATGTTTACACTGTAATTTATTGTGTGCAGATAGCATTATATCTTTTTAAAATGTACATATCTTAAGTAAAAAATACAAAGCAAAAACAATTAGAATCGTAGCATCAATTATCACTGATCACACATCACCACGAGAAATATAGTAATGAAAAAGTTTAAAATATTGTGAGAATTACCAAAACATGACACAGAGACATGAACTGGGCAAATGCTCTTGGAAAAATGGTGCTGATAGACTTTCTAAAACTCAGGTTGCCACAAACCTTCAGTGTGTAATAAACATAGTATCTGTGAAGGACAGTAAAACAAAAAGCAGTAAGATGAGGTATGCCTGTATGTTGTGCAACTCCCTTCTGGCCTGCACAGTTTTTCATGAAAAATCTGCTCATTTTATGGGGGTTCCCTTTGAAGTAACAGGTTGCTCCTCTATTAGCATTAATATTCTCTCTTTGTCTTATAGTTTCACATTTTAATTATTATGTGTCTTGATGTATGTTTCTTTTGGTTCCCCTTGTTTGGAACTCTCTGGGCTTCCTGAAACTGGATGTCTGTTTCCTTCCCCAGGTTAGGGAGGTTTTCAGCCATTATTTCGTCAAATAAGTTTTCGACCCCTTTTGTTCTTCTCCCTCTGTGACTCCTATAATGTGACTATTAATGCACTTGATGTTGTTTCATGAGTCCCTTAAGCTATCTTCCCTTTTTTTTTTTCCCCCCATTCCTTTTTGTTTTCTCTGCTCTTTGATTGGGTCAGTTCCTCTGCCCTGTCTTTGAGTTCATTGATCCTTTCTTCTGCTTCATCTAGTCTGCTCTTGAACCCCTCTAGTGCATTTCTACTTCAATAATTGTACACTTTAGCCCTGTGACTTGTTTGGTTCTTTCTTATATTTTCTCTCTCTTTGTTGAAGTTCTCACTGTGTTCGTCCATTCTTCTCCCACGTTCAGTGAACACGTTTAAGACTACTACTTTGAATTCTTTTTCTTGTAAATTACTTACGTTTCATTAAAATCTTCTTCTCAAGTTTTATCTTATTTATTTGGACCATATTCATCTTTTTCTCCCTTTTGATGACTTGTTTTGGTTTCTGTGAATATAGATGAAACAGCCACCTCTCCCCATCTTGAAGGGCTGGCCTAGTGTAGGAGAGGTACCTTGTCATTCAACCATACCCCAGCTTTTGGTTCTCTCTTCAACCTTCCCAATTGTCTAAGCAGCCTATTTTATTTCTGATAGGTTCCAGTAGTTGAGTGTGTGCTGAGATCAGTTAGTGTCCCAAAGAAGAGGATCTCAGCACCTAGATTCAGGTTGATTGGAAGGCAGACCCTCTGGCAACAACTTTTAAAGATGCAAATATATGCAGTCCTGCAGGACTACAAGCGTAGGCCCCACTGGCCATCAGAGCCAGGTGATCTGGAGGCGTCCCCTGGGCAGCAGTCACAAAATTGGGGCACCCATCTTGTGTTATTTATCTGACTAACCTACCTCATCACTGACTCTTAGTCCTACAAAGTTAGACTTAAAAATATATCCCCAGCCATGTCACTAAGCGAAAATGCAAATAGGATATACATATATACGGCATAGAGGATGTTATATTATGCTATTAGGATAGATGCGCAGACCTCTTCTCCATGGACACATCTGTAAATGCATAGAAATAGGCCTGGAAGGAGGCATCCCAAATTGATAAGAGCGCTCACCTCTGAGGAGGAGGAGGTAGCATTGGAAGGAGAGCGGTCAAGGAGCATTTTCTTATCTGTCTGAACGTTTTTACAGTAAAAGATGTATTCAGTACATATTTTTTAATTTTTAAAATTTATTTAAAGGAAAAAAGTTTACCGAAGTTGAACTGACAACTGACAGTTTAGTGGCTTTTAATAGTTAAGAATAAAAAGACGGTGAAACTTAATTTTCTAAAATGGGCAATGGTTAGAAAATGTAGAGACTCTGGGAACTCTGTAGCATGTTCCTTAGAAATTAAACGGTGCTCCTTGGTCCCCCTACACATCCTCTGTCCGTGAGATTTATCTTACCAGACCAGCTACCTTCCAGGTTTTTCTAACAGAGTTACAAAAGCAATCCTTACAAACAGGCCATTATAGAAATGACATAAAATTGCATGTTTCATATAAATCTAAAGTATTTCTTTACCTCCCACTTGGGAGTTTTAGGCACTTCAAGTAGCAGTTCTCAAGGGAGAGGATGAGGGCCCAGATGGAAGCAATGCTTGCAAACACACACGCCTGCAGGGAGTCAGAGGGGAGGGAGCCCTGGCTACTGGTGGAATGTGTTGTATCCCTCAGACACACAGGGCGGCACATGGGCTAAAGGCATCACTTTGAGGTTCAGCTCTAGTATGATGTTGTATGTCCCAAAAGAAAAATAGTTCATTGATACAAAACGGCCTCTCTCTCTCTCTCGCACACACACACACACACACACACACCAAACGCTATTTTCAAAGTAGTCTTCCCCCCTGCAAAAAACAAAACCATTTTGTGGTTAACTTGGCTGGCTGCTTTGCTCTATAGTACTACAGATTTGACAGCATGGGACCAGAATACTTGGTGCAAATCACAGGTGCTCTACTTTCTAGAAGTGTGACTTTGGACAAGTTACTAAATCTCTCTTGCCCTTAGGATCCCCATCTGCAAAATGGGGATGATCTTGGGGCCCTCTCTTGTAGGGCTGTTGCAGGTAGTCAATGAGCTAGGAGCCATCTGAAGAGTGCCTGGCATTCAGCAAAGTATTTCATTAGCTTAGCTATTACTTGAGTAAACGTCCAGCTTTATAAAGTCAAATGATTACCCAAGACACCCCTAATTTGATGATTATGCTGCAATTTGGACCTGACACGAGCTCCTTAAGAAGGGCCCTCCAGTCTTAGTGGGAAGACCCTTGATGTGTCCACACAGTATGTTAATAAGGGCTGGCTGTGTGGTGCTGACTTGGCAAATGGCCATATGTTCTAAGGGCAAAACTTCCCTTGGAACAAGGCGGTGCTCGGCACACTGTCAGCCAGCCCCCCCCCCCCTTCACTGAACCCACACAGGGCCTCTTTGGTAGTGATCTGATTTATTCTCTTCGGAGTTTGGTTTTTATTGAGAGAATTCCAGGATTTCAAAAACACATAGTTGAGAGCCATCTCTCTGTGGTCGCTTATAAAGTACTAACAAACAGAGATAAGATCTTGAAGTGCAGCCTGTCATCCTCTCTGGCATGAGACAGTGTGAACCCAAAAAGTAAATAAAAAGAAGTTCTGTCTAGTACACAGTTTAAAGAAAAACAAACTTTGATTTAAAAGCTCTTTATTCACTGGTCCTGGCATCTCAGAAGCAAGGGAAATGATGCCCGCCGCCTTCACTGCACCTGTCCTGTATTTTGGCGGGGGGCTCAACGAAACACCCTGGAGCAGTGCCCTGGCCACACCAGGTTTCTGGGCTGTAGGAGAAGGCAGAAAAGTGCTCTCCGTGGGGATGTGGGCTCAGGGTTGCCGTCTTCTGGCCAGTGCAGGCTGCTAAATCTGGCTCCTTTGCGTCTGTTGCAGGAATCATGTACCGCAAGTCGTGCGCGTCGTCGGCCGCCTGCCTCATCGCCTCGGCTGGGTACCAATCCTTCTGCTCCCCAGGGAAAGTGAATTCCGTGTGCATCAGCTGCTGCAACACGCCTCTTTGCAACGGGCCCCGGCCCAAGAAAAGGAGCAGTTCTGCCCCAGCCCTTCGGCCGGGGCTCCCCGGCACCCTCGTGCTCCTCAAATTAGGCCTTTTCTTGGCACACTGCTGAAGCTGAAGGAGATACCAGCCCCCTCCTGCATCGTTCTTTGGGCCCACCTTCCCCCAGCCCCCTGAGATTTTTCTGGGTATCCTTTGATGCTGGGTGGCGAGGGGAATCCGTGTTCTCTTTCTTTCAGTTCCTTTGCAAACAATGGAAGAGCTCAGTGTAAAAACAAAACTTTGTGAGCTCCGGACGCATTCAGTTTGACTGAATTTTCAGTGTGTCCTTAATGGAAGGAAGGAGGAGGAATGGATACAGATGGGCCAACTCTCAGAGTTGAGGCCCGGTTGGCGGCAGCATTCGCCCTCAAGTGACACTTGTAAGCAGCCATCTGCTTTCTTCCCAGGCCCGTCTTCCACCCCGTCCCTGACGATGGGCACACAGTTTGTTTTGGCACTGCTGCATGCAGGTAACCGTCGCTTTCGTGTGGGGAGGGCCCGTGGGCGCTCCAGCTTCCCTTCCTTCCTTGACAGACAGTCACACTTCATGCTCCTGGAAGCCATTTTCGGTGGCAGGGTTGGCAGGTTTCACCTCCGAGTTGGGATCTGGTGACTCGCGACTCAACTGCTGAGGCCTAGGTTCGGGCTTGGCCTCGCTCTGGAAAGTGCTTAGGAAAACCTTGTTAGTTCTCCTTGCAGAGGAATTAGCCCGGGAAGCCAGGAGGATGAGTGGGCGGCGCGCGGAGCGGGCACCATCTGCGGCGGAGGCCACGTGGGCGCGCAGGCACTTCTCCTGGTTGGCATGTGGCAGCGTCAGCCGGCAGCGCAGCACCTGCCCGAACACGCTGCGGAACTGCTGCGAGGACACGTTGTACAACAGCGGGTTGACGACTGAGCTCAGGTAAAAGAAGGTGTCCGAGAAGGGAAGAAGGATCATGTACGCCTCGAAGTAGGACTTGGTCCAGTCGTGCTTGGGTCTGGCCGCAGCCATGATCCTCCGAACCTGGTTGGGCATCCAGCAGACAGCCAACGTCACAACGATCAGCCCTGAGCAGAGGGGAGAGGGAAAAAAAAAAATCATAAGCCCAGCAACAAAAAGATACCCATAAGATATTGAGCCCCTCAGTTCTGTGCTTACTGGCCAGGAAATGGTGCCCAATTTTCAAGTTGGGCTTGATTGATGGCTTTTTTGCCACTAGCAAAAAAAAAGAATTTAACACTGTTTCAAGGCCAGGGGCGTTGACTGTGTTAAAGACCATTAAATGCTGTAGACAATTGATTTATACCTGTTGATGCCTGTTAATTTAAAAAAATGTTTTTGTTGTTGGTGTATCCAGAAAGCATTTGATGTAGTCCATAAGTCTGGTTTTGGCCTTTAATGGATAGATGGATACAGTATAGCCACATCAGATGAAACAATATTTGTACTTTAAAGAGTGTTTGTCTAGAGGCAACCCAATGGTTATTTTCAAGACAGAGGGCAGTGACAGCCCTTCGGTAACAAAGAGGTATATTTAGTGACACTAATTTTGCATTCAATTTCAGGGGAGGCAAAGTCAGGAGTAGCCTGTCACTGAGCGTGTGTTTTGGACATGTATTTAGTAGGTGTGCACACCTGTAATTACAACGCTGCATCTGCAGCAGCACTTCTGTTTCTTTACAGGTGTTTTTAGATGTGTCATATATTTGAGCCTCATGGGGGAAAGAAGATAATTATCCAAAAACCATGGAAAATATAAAACTTGGAGTTCAGCGAGTAACTCACTAGCTCACTGCCTTTGTGTCACTAAGCTGTACCGTCAGCAGCCCCGAAAAGATCAGGCTCTAAAAAGACACCCCTTAGTGGTCCCCCAGAGGATCAAAAGTTGACTGCACGGACAGATGTCTGAACGCCCACATATTTGCATTCTGAATCACGCAATCATTGCTCTTTCTACAACCTCTGACAGAGAAAAAGATGCTATGTACACCATAGGCAACTGGTATCACTAATGTCATGAGTATTTATCCACAGTGACCAAAAAAGTAAACAAGAAAAGGAAAAGCAGGCATCTGCAGAGCCTTTGCTGTCTTCTCTTGGGGACCCAAGACACCAGAATGTAAGTTTCTAGGTGGAGAGCTGATATCTTAGAGCTTAGAGCTGTGTTTTGGATATTCAGAAATTCTTCCTCCCTCTCCTAAATTTACATAATATATTAAGAAGAAAAATTCATTCACATTTTCAAACCCTCTGACTGATTCTCTAGGAAGCCACAGGTAAGTGATTGTTGGCAACGACCCCTTCTTGCCTCTGATCAATGGTAAATATTTCATTAATAAATGCTCCAGGAAAAACAGCCATGTTTATCCCTCCAGGGTTGGCCCACCCGCACACCCTCGCCTAAGCATCCCCCCTTGCCTGGGGCGGCAGAGGGGCCCTAGTTATGTTCTCCCAACAACCAAGCCTCCAAAAATCCCAGCTGTCAGCAAAGATGACCCGTGAAACCTGCTCTCCCCTGTTAAATTTCCAAACAGGCTTGACAGGTTTATCGGGTCTAAACCTCAGCCCACACTTGAAATACAAACCAATTTGCTTCTTTCTTTCCTTTGCTACACTCAGTAAATCTAAAAATAAAACAGGCAAAGTAACATATTGATCTGATGAAAGGCAAAAAAAAAAAAAAAATCACCTTAAGAGTACAGGCTGAGGCACCTAGTTCCAGCTGCTAGATGGGAACAAAAATCAACATTGTTCTGATTGATTACCAAAAAAAAAAAACCTGCATAGGAAAATCGGGGACTCGAAGAGGCACGGGTGTGTCCAGTGTCCAGCCACCACTGCTATTCCAAGTGTGTTCTGAAGTTATTTCTCCTTGTTTCTTATCTCACGTAGCTCTGGCTGAAAGGTTCATCTTGTTAATTGTGAAGGACTCAGGTAACTCACCTCGCGAAACAACATATGGTCACGAAGTTTTCTATCTTTTTCTCTTCCTTGCCACTGAATTTCAGAGAACAAGTACCAACCATCTTCATCTAAGGACTTATTTCTTAGAATGTGGAAACGGAGCACAGGGTTTTGGCTGTGTGCCATGCTCACTGTGGGAGGTTGTGCTTGCAGGTTTCTAGATTTCAAGAATCTAGAAAGGCAACGAGAACCACCTTGTACTTACCCTGGTTGAACATAGCACAGCTTCTGAAGCCAACAGAAAGAAAAGGCAGCAGTGTGGGGCAAAAGAGAAGTTACACGATTTTTCTTCCCCTGTCCTGTTCTTTTGATCTCTTGTTTACATGACCCTTATTCTCCCATTACCTACACCCCCTCTGCCTGGAGTCGATCGTTCTTTGATTGACCATCCCATCAAAAGCAAGCAGAGTTCCATAAAAGGCAAGACCCAGCATCCCCGGTCCAGACACGGGCAGATGAAGGATTGTGGCTGGTGTATAGTTTTAGCCGGGATAGAATTCTTGCTCTGAACAGTTGAAGTAAATAAGAAGTAAATAAGAAGATGCGGAACCAGACGAGAGATTTTTTCAATGATGAGAAAAAGAAGGGAAAGGTTAGCATTCTGGGTGGAGAAGTAAACAGACATGAAAGAAAATACAAATTTGGGGAAGAAGCGAAACAAGGAACTGAGTTGAAATGGTCAGGGATTAAAAGATGAGGCACTGGACAGGTCCTGAGATGTAAGAAAGCACCACGCCGATTGCTTACTGCGTTTTCCCTATGTTAGTTCAGTGATAAGTGCTCTCTGCTAGTTTCCCATGCATTGCTCACAACAACCTGCTGAGATCAAAACTGTTATTATCAGATCCAAACTGTTATCTTAATTTTCTAGCTGAGGAAGTTGAGGCTCAGAGGTTGGTTACCCAAGGGCTAGCTATAGCCAAGACCCATGCTTGCTGGACTCCAAAATCCACAAGCTATATATATATTTTTTTCTCCAAGACAATATTGTCTCTCACATTGTCAATTTGAAAAATAAAACATAAGTAAACATGAGCCATCATCCCACCATACATAATAGGTATTAAACAGCACTGCCCACTAGAAACACAAGCCACATATGTAATTTTAAAATCTCAACCCCATTCAAAAAGTAAGAGGTGGAATCAATTTTAATGATTTTAATCCAATAGGCCCCAGATACCATCATTTCACACAGGGTTTCAACGTGCAAGGAATCAAACTATTCATGCGATGTTTTACATTTTCTTACATTTCTTACTAAGTCTTTGAAACCCAGTGTGGCTTTTAGGCTTACAGCACATTTCAGTTGGGACCAGCCCCCTCTGGCTAGTGGCTACGCCACAGGTTAAAGTAACCCTTCATAGACGCTCCCCAAAGCAGCAAGGCTCCCAATTTCCTTCTCCTCCCATTTCCCACTTCCCAGCCACACACCCCACAGAGTCCTGCCAAACCAAAGAAACCCTCACAGAATCTCCCACCTAGCCTGTATTTATCCTCCTAAGATTCTGACGATGCAACCAAGGTTGAATCTGGATCGTACTTCTGAATACACATTCTCCGCTATAGTGTAGACCAAGTCGATCCAGTCTTTTCACAGATAAGCCTTCCCTATAAGGGACTAATAATTATTTAAAGCATAAATAATTGTGAAAACACACGATTTTATTTTGCATCCCTCCTTCTAAGCCTTGCCTAGTCATTCTGCAGTAACACAGATTGTGCCGCATACCTGCCAGGGCTGCTAGAATATACTTCCCCATCTCAGCTGGAGATGGGGAAAATGGAGCACTGGGCACCCAGGTACAGTCAATGGACAGTGTAACAGAGGTGAGGCTTGGTGATGTCAGGAGTCAAACTAGCCCCCTTATAAAATTGTCATTTTATAATAACAAGTGAATTGCTCCTTTCTACGTTTGAAAACAAAGTTCATTATTTTAGGTGACACATTGCTGAGAATAAACACCATGTCCAACAGTGGCTTTTTATTCTGAGCGTTCACAACTGGTTCAGCTCCAGTCCCAGCTACTCTGTAGCCGAGACAAAGCTTTAAAGTTTTACTCACGCCTTAATAGCATATTCAAGGTTTGACTAAAGTTACGTTGGACTGCAATCCATTTGCACTTGTATATTACATTTGGAAAAATCTAGAATGCTTCGGTCTGTGTGGTGTAATCTGTAGCCCGCAGGTAAATGACTTCAGTGTGAACTTGAGTGGAGATCAGTGAACTGAACTCAGTCACTGAGTAAAGCACGTAAACTGTTTTAAGTGAAACTGTGGATAGATCTGTATCGTACTGCCGACAGCCGTGCACTCTGGGTTAAGAAATACCTTCCCGTCTTGCCTGTTTTCCCACATAAAGTACTTCCATTTTTCCTCCTTGATCACTGCACTAAAATGACAAGAGCCCATTAGGCGGTGACACATTTATTCTCAGCAGAGTACTGTTTAAAAAACAGAAGTAATGCAGACGTCCAACAGCGTCCTGCGCTGAAGCCCGATATTTCAACAGCGTTCAAGTCAGCCTGCTTGGTTGAGTCTTACCGTGCTCCGTTTTCTCCCCTCCAATCTTTAAAGCGAACGTAACTATTTGTGAGTCCCCCAGAAATGACTCACAGTCGTCAGAAAACGGGACAGCAGGAAGAAAACGCCCTTATCCTACAAGTGACAGAACTGAGGCTAAGTGATTTGCTCAAAATCTCACAGGTCACGGTGGCAGGACCGCTGCTCAGACCACTGGATTCCACCCGAAATGGACCAAAAATTATTTTTAAATGTAGTGGGATGGCTTTGTCTTTCACTTTTTGGCTCAAGTGCTAACCGTTCACAGCATGGAATTCAATGAGAGGCAGGTCCACCTCAGACCCCAGCCAAAGTCAGCACAACAGCTCGATTTAGAACCAGGATTCCGTTTTAGAAGCAGGTCCCTCAAGAACAGGCACGTGACAAAGCTCTGGAGCACACATATTCCCCCCAGAGGAAGCTGAAGTTCTCCCAAAGGAGCTGAAGAATGTTTGCAAAACGAAATATGATTCCAGGTCATGACCTGACGAGCAAGCCTTAAGGACACCATTTATCCACCCGATCTGTCCATCCATCCAT